AAGTAGAGATGTCGGTTTATAAGATTAAAGAGCAACCACGTACATTTTGCGTGTATATCCCATGTTTAGACAACCGATTCTAGGAAATATGTATTTTCTCTCGTATTTGCAATAATACGAAAATTATATGCAATAATTATAATAATAGAAAGCACTATATAATGATACAATAATTAAATTATAATAGATTAAATAATAATTGAATAATAATTGAACAATAATTATTATTAATATAATTATTGTTGTAATTTATGTTTATTAAATAGTACAAATTTACTTTGCATTAATTTTCTTATGTTGCTATAAGGAATTATAATAGAAAGAGAGAAAATCAATTAATAATCTAAATAAGATTATAAGATAATAATACAATCGATTATTATCGATTCCATCCAAAATTTTTGCTTAAAAGAAAGATTTAGTAATAAATGTTAAATAAAAAATTAAATTAAATAAAAAATAAAATAAAAAATAATAAAACCATTGTGTTTCTTTGCTATAAATTACAAAAAAAAATGTATCCTTTAAAATTAAATTTTTATAAGATCAAGGCTTGTTGCTCTTTTGTGTTTCTTGCTTCTATTAAAAATACTTGCAAGTGGCTAAACTCTTTGCGATGGTGAAATTAGATATAATTGTGAACAGAATGGAAACGATTTCTGAGAGAGAGAGAGAGAGATAAAGAAAAAGAAAGAGAGAATCGTCCCAACACCGGCTTAAATCCGCCGAGCCGGTACAGAGATACGTGAGCTGAGTCTTAAGTAGAAAGACATATATGTTGCGAGACGACTGCCGAATAAAATATCACCTTTTTCTCGTCTAGGTAAGTTTTCTCTCTCACAAAGACGTGTGCACATGCACACATATGCCTATCTAATTTATCTTTCTCTGAATTCTTTTGTGGACTACGCTGCATAATTACACCGTAAAAAAAATCGCAATAAAATAAACATGTTTACAGCGTCATCTTTACAATCGTCGAAAGTAAATTTAAATCTGTTGTTTGTAAAATTTGATCTAAAAAAATATATACTAATATACACACAGTTTCAAGAGAATTATAAAATAGTTCATACTACTAGAGAGAAAAAGAGAGAAAGAAAAAAAATATGAAACTAAGAAGATATGAAAATATTGTAAACAAGACTGTATGTAAGAATTGAATAGAATCAGTCATCATATAAATCTTTTATTAAATCCATTCCATTGCACGTTTTAAATTCATTAATGTTTATTAAATTATTAAATAATAAAATCTTTCTCTCTAATTTCACGAGTAATCGATATCGTATAAATAATCAATTAATTCAGTTTTTCCTTTCATTTTTAGATAGTATTTAATTAAAAATTAAACAATGTGTACATAATATGTATAAAAACAAAACAGGCGTAAAAGATTAGAGAGCATTTTTGGCAGGCAGATATTACAAAAATGTGAAATTCTATATTGTTTACGTTTATGTTCGCTCGTTAACTTCTATTAACAGAATATTATTTTTTACTAGAAATCGATACGCATATAGTCGCTTTGTATTTCAATTTAAAATACGCAACAAGATCTCGATTATATATATCAAGACGCATTGCTCCGGACAGCAAACCGATTTTCGCAATATTCCAGGCTTATACGTATTCGTTTTATTTGCACGCAACGATTTAATCAATGTTTAAATTTGAATCCAATTGTGCCAATATCACCGGTTTCGGACACGCGCGCAACAACCGCATAGCAACGAGAAACTCGCACTTGTCCGCAAAATGGAGTCAATAATAAAAAGGAAATTCATAAAAACGATCGCATTTTCACAAAGGATAATTTCGTAGTTGCGGTATTGACGGGGCAATTTTTGCCCTTTATAGCACAATGACAATTTCTTCCCGTTACAGAGCGGTGCATTTTATTTACATCCTGTGCTGAACGCACACCGGAACGCTGCGGAATCCCGCAGAGAATGAATTGAACGATAAATTGCAGGGCCCCTGGCGAAATTTACGGATGGGCAGAATGAAGTCGTCGATTTTCCTTCCACAATCCTGTGTCCGGAATTCCGAACGCGGTCGTGATTAAAAAAGTACAGAGCGATCCGCGGATCGAGCGACGACGGGCGAGGGTATATTGTTGCGAAACTTTCATTTAAGCCATATACACATCCGGTCGCATGTTTTATCTCGTTTATATTCGATTTACCAGACGGAATTACAAATCTTCAGAGCCGCGTGTGCGCCTTAATTTATTTTCGGCGACGAATTGGTATATCGATCGCGACCGCCATTGCTTGCGCCCGCTTAATGTTTATGCTTAGCATACATGAATACCATAATTGCGCCTGATTCTGTCCGCACCAGCTCCAGTGGCGCATGTTGGGAAAGAATAATGAAAACGACGTGGTGTGTGCGGTTCAACAACGGTTAGATGGTACCGTAATAAAAGCTGCATAAAGACGTGGGTGGATTCTTGATTTCATTTTTACGCCTTCGTGTAAGTTTCAAGTTCTGTTATAAAAGACTTGTTATAAATAGAATCTACTGTATGCATTTTTACTAGAAAGAAGATTATTTTTCATATTTTCGAATATGCTTGTTGATCGAGAGATAGAGAGAATCCTGAAGAAAGAAATATGTTACAACTATTATAAGAGCTCTTTTATAAACATTTTATTCTTTCGCTGTAATACTTTTTAAGGAGATATACGTTGAAGTTAAGTAGCATCTAATATCAAATAAAATATCTATCTGAGGGAAAAAATAAAAAATCGTGCAAGAGAAATATAGAAATATAAAATTAGATATTGTATACTATTACACTACTAAATTGTAAATAATTCGAACATTTGTAAATGTGTATTAAATTTAACAATATTTTTGCAATTAATATCGTAAATTGAGTGAAAAAATTTATTCTTTATTTATACAGACATATATATATTCTATTTTGTATATAGACAATATATACAATATTGCGACGTACAGTGTATACTTGCATGTATTAAATGTTGTTTGGAATCGCCTAAAATTACGGTTTTAAATTTTCCTCGATATATCATAAAAACAAGAAGCAATATTTATTTTGTATTTTATCTCACGTGCACATATCATGTCGTATTTCGTTATTATTGTTCTAATAATAGTGTAAAAGATTTTTTCCTTTCTACTCATCATTTCACGCACAATCTAAGTCTAAATATATTGATTTTGCAGCTATTTTGTGTCTGCATTAATTTAATTAAAAAATAAAATATATCACAGAATTTTTAATTGATTGACTTTTATTTGGTTTAATTATTTATATTATTACAAATATAGACTTAGTTTTTCACTCAATCAAGTATATGTATGGACATTTGGAACAGAAATTGCCTTTTTTTGCATATATATCTATAAGTTTTGTTTGTCTTTTCAATCATTGCATTTCTACACATTCTAGTCTTCTTCCGTTAAAACCATTTCAAATGCAATAACTTAACTTCAAATTCAATCCACCTTTTCCAGGTCAGTAAGTATGTAGCGCAGTTTACATAGTTCTTAGAAAGTGGCCAAGACTATCGAAAAATTTCAATATAATACGCGAATTGCAAAAGTGTTGGACAGTATCTTGATAATCCGCAGATGAACAATTATTGCGTGAATCTTGTTACAGCGATATTAAAACGTCTCGATAATAAATTTCCGCGAAGTTTCGAGCACAATGAAGTGATCCATGAATAAAAATCTTTCGCTTTCATGAAAATCCCGAAGATAAATGGACGAGCAAGCGAAGAAATTTCTGCTGGAGCGCGCAAAGCGGCTAAATTTCTTTAAGAGACGTCAAGATTAGTACATCTGGAAAATTTGCCGTGCGTGGAGTTTTCAAAATTACGAGAAAAATACGTACTCGAGGAAATATCGGAAGCCATTGTCATAGATCGTATAATTGCCAACGCGGGATGTGAAAATGGAATTTTTCGATCAAACTTTGCACGTTTTTTTCGATAACAAATTATGAGCTGCGAACGCGCCCATATATTCAAGCTTTGTGAACTGTAATAAACGTTTCGGCAAACTGTTCTTTGTGGCAGCATTGCGGTATATAATTACGTACATTGTTCCAGTAATATTTGAATGCTTTTTTCTTCTTCCGCATATTTTAACAAAGGAATATATCCAAAATGAATAATAATATTTTATCATGGAATAAATACGTAATAGATATATTGACCAGTGCACTGTTTATTAAAAAACTCACACAAATAGTAATTTCGGTAACGAAATGTTTATTTATAGTCGTTTTGTGTATGTCGCAAAGTAAAAGCGTGTATTTAGTAAAAAGGTTACAAGGTAAAAGAAGATTTTATTTTTTGTATGCCTTCATAGTATAAATAAGGAGGATAATTTTACGAGTCTAGCAAGTAACTATTTTTCTTACTTTAGAACGTTATATAAGAATTTATTGAGGTACGCTGTTATCGAGGTATTAAATAATGTAATAACACTTCTGGTTCAACGTCACAAAAGAATATGAGGAAAAATTCAAGAAAGTGAACCGAAAGAAAATATTATTTAAAATGAATGAAGATCCGGATTCCTAAAGAGCATGATTTCGATGAAAAAGTGACGAGACACTTTTATACTGAAAATATAAAATCGTGAGATAAAAAGAGATGTTTAACATTGCTCAAAACAAATAGCAAAACTCTAGAGTATTCATTTTTAAGAGAAATAAAATAGTAATTTCTCTCTGTCTAGTTCTCTAATTATTTTTTTTAAAATCATACTTGCGAATTTATATTTTCAACGAGTTTTGTACAGTTTGGAAAAATTATATAAGTTCTACAAATGCAATAGATGTCTCAGCCTCAGGCATAAATTTTTTTTCATAGACTAAATACATATATATTTATTCATGTCGGCTTAAATAAATAATACTGAATTGGGACATGTTTTTACGACTTTCTATGAAAATAGAAACTACATTTATTCTCGTCACATGATTTGTCAGTTGTTGATCAATGTATGGCTTTCGCCCCATCACAATGCTATCCGATGCTGAATCGTAAACACGTATCACATAGCGCGACCGTAGGTGCAATGTAATTGTAACGTAGACACTGACGTAGAACCGGACCTCCACGTTGACTCTCGAGTACAACTTGGAAATTCTGCCCCGGGCTGCTTACCGAAGCAACACGTCAAGACGTATGTTTACAAGCGTCCAAATCCTGTGTAAACAAAGAAACACAAACAATTCTTCGTCGCTCATTCCTTTGAAACGATTAAACTAAATTGAACGATTGAAACTAAAAACCGCGATTGTAAGTTTCTAGAAAAATATTTTTCATACAAGATTTTTCCTTCCTTTATTGTTAGAAAAATAAGAGAGACATTTTCCGACTGTTTTGTGTAAACAGATTGTTATAAAATCTCTCGAGAGAACTTTATCGAGAATTGATAATCATATAGTAGAGGAAAATATCGTAATGTGAATCATTTTCTCGAAATTCTCATGCCAATATACTCTTGGTACGTTTACGCTCGTGATACAATTTCGCCATTTACATGCTCTATTTATCGCACCGCAATGTATCCTGCACCGTTACATTAATGCACAAGGTGGTCACCATCCCATTTCGCGCTTGCTGTCAGATACATCGGAAAGCCAGAAATTTGAAGCAAATTATATATTAACACGTATTTTAGCAGATAAATTCAGTTTGCATTTCATTCATCTCCTGTCGATAAAATAATCCTTTTGTGCTAAAAAACACAAGTGTTAGTCCTACAAATGTTAAATTAATATACATCGTAAAACATGTGTAATATTTCACAAGCATATATAGCGCTATTATTTAAAATTATTTATTTATATTGTGTTATCTGAGAAATAATGTGTATTCGAGATTGTAAAATTGCGTGATTTAAAAGATTATATTTAGACTTATTGATTGCGCTCGAGAATTCTTATTATTTCAATAGCAGTGAAATTTATTCTTTGGAGTATTAAAGTGAATCGTTAAAAAATTTAGTACGGAAAAATATTCCAAATGACCATTTAACGATACATTTCATTCGATCATTGATTAATTTTATCTATTAAGCTTTCATGTATGGATAAGTTATTCTCTTTGTGTTCTTAACGAAATTTTAACATCAAAGCATTCCAATTTAACATGGCGGATAATAGATTATCTGCTGGTACGTATGGAACTGCCCAATGATACTATGCCTAATATGGCAATGATCTAAAACGATTATATTCGAGCCGTAGAGAGGCAAGCGCAAAGCTATGTTTCTGACAATCGTGATCAACGATGTGAAACGATATGACAGAATGACGTTTGACATTTTCATTACCTTGCAATATGCGTTTGTAACATAGTCGTATTTGTATGTGCGTGTATATATGTATGTACGAAGTATTTCGAAGAGAGAAAGCGAGTCAATTTTTGGAATTTCAGCTTTATTGAAGCAAGAATTCCCCATTCAAATAGGAGATTTAAAAAGAGTTAAATTAGGATAGAAGAAATATTTAAAAACAAATGATTTAAGAAATAAACTCAAAAATTAAACATTACAAAATATAGCGTTTTTATATGGAAGCTTGTGTAATAGTATTAGTCAATAATTTATCAATTCATGCCACATGTAATTCTGGGGATATTAATGCTGTCATTGTCACATGGGATTTTGAGATGTGCTGCTGTGTTGTGTAAAACTGAATTCCATTGTACTATATTATCCAAAACATGGGTATGCATCGTGTTTCGTGTGAAGGAATTAATATAGTATATATGTATTTTCGCTCATCCCATGCTCTCCCAGCCCAGTTGCTGTAGGTGTTGCTAGTAGTACGTTTTAACACGCTGTTAATTAATTATTAATTCATAAAGATTAGAACAGGTTTTTTTTAAAGATTTTTTAAATGGTTTTTTTTAAAGATGATACATCTAATTTTCACGATAGGTATATTTTTATTAATTACTGTATATTATATTATATCGAGACAAATGATAAAAATTAATTTAGTCATATACTTAATAAAGTTTTTCTATATATGTAAACTGTCATATAATATATAATAAAATGCATGACAAATTTGTGTGTTCATAGAAAGTTCGTAGCGAATGAGTGCTCGGTAAACTTTTCCAGTTTCGTTAAAACTTTGGATAATACAATTAGTATTCACGGATAAGTAATGTATCCGGATAATCTCGTGATTGAGTTTGTGAGAGAAACTCTATCAAATGATTATTATGAATAAGAAACTTGTTTAGTCCCGAATCAGGGACTAAAAAAAATAAAATTAAAATTGTTATTTGCTGCAAATAATTATTTACACTATTATTCTGTCACCTGTATACACGAATGAAGAAAATTATTTCGTAGAAAGTTTCGTAGCAACGCGTAGTAAATACGTATAATATGAAAAAATACAAATGAGATTGATATGATTTTAAAAATAATCTAATATATATAACAACAATGAAACTGAGCAGAATCAAATAAGCAACCATAATTACAATGGCTTTATAACTGCAATGTAGAAAGCTTTATTCCGGATTGGCCGAGTTTGTTAACATGGAAAGTACAATTAACATTCTAAACAAAATTAGTACCAACTTTACATGAATATGCAAGAAAGATAGAAGTCCAACAGAGAGATTTAATGTTATTCGCATATATTAGAATATATTCCGCAATTTGGGTGCATTTTAAATAATCTTTATAGCAATTGAGAGAATGTTTTCTGCGACAACATTTCATGAATTTATTTTTGCGATAATCGTATTATTTGTTTAATTCTAAAATAGAATTTTATTTAGATAAAAAAGGAGAGAGTTCATTTTCTTCTTTCGTCATACTTTATCAACTTAAGGAAGAACAGATTATCCGAGGCAAGCCTACGTTACGATAAATTACATTATAACTCTCTGTAAAGAAATTTTGCACCCTTCTCGAGAAGTTGCTCAATGTATCTATAGACTGTAGGATACTACATTTCGCTTAGAAACACGAACACACTGCAAAATCTCACGAGGGGGAAATTTGTTTTTCTCTGTCAAACATATCCGTTAATTCTATGCAGATTTATGTATGAAAATCAAGCTGCGAGATTAATTTGATCGTAGTTTGCATTGTATGTATGCTTTTGTTGCAAAATATTTAAAATTACCTGAATAAAACGCGTCGTTCATAACGCGCTAATAGTATCCGCAAATGAAATCGATTCGATTTACGACAACGTTAGTTGACAAACTCTATTAAATACGAGTACAACAACTTTGGAATTTGCAATTTTACGACGTGCGAAAGCTTATTACGCGAATTTCTAACGAGGAGATAGAGCGCGGGAAAACGTTGGAAATTAGAGATGTGAGTTATTTAGAAATTAGCATTATAGAAGCAGACACAGAAATAGATCAATAGCAAACAAAATTATAGCGTGCATCATGGATTCCCGTCATTATTTGAGTTCGGCAATTTTAAGTCGCGACAATTTTCGGAAATCAATCGAATTCGATATACCTCGTGACTTGTCGGATCCAACGTACTCCATAACAGGATTATTACAACCCTCAACCTTCAAGCCTGTACGCATGGCACATTACACGTACATATGCAATGTGCGCATGTTGAAGTCACTTTTACCCTCGCAGTCCCTCGTAAGCTCTTCGAAAACTTTGTCTACAAGCTGAGTGGGGTTTGGTCGGTAAACTTCGCGTTAATTTCATGCAGATTCGAAGGGGTTAGCGCCCGTGAGCGAGGCTTAAACCCCCGCAGTGTTGCATACGGAGCAGTGACGTGTCTGTACAGTGCATTAGCACCCTCGGCTGCTGCCGCGATTGCTCATATAAAACAATTTTCTTCTTGCCTCATTGTCTCGACAACAAGGGGCACTGATTAATAAATCGTAAAGCTAATAAATTTATAAATTGTGTGGCAAAGATATTTGAATTCAACATTATTTAAAAAACATTTTAATTGTTTTAAATGAGAATTTTACATCAAAGATATAGACGAAGAATTCTCGTGTCTCTGGACACACCGTTTGAAAATTACTTATACCTTAGAAATATAGATTTATTGGAAAATCAAATTGACATTCTAGATTAGCACTTTATTATCGAGAACTTGTATTACGTACTAATCATATTAATGGTAATTGCATTCTCTGGTGGTTCGTTAAATTTTACATCGTTACTATGTCAATATGAATGCATTTACGAATGACTAACAGCGATGAAACGTGAAATTAATACGATATAAGAATATCGAATTGCGCTATTAATAAATACTTAAAGTTTTCGCGAAAGCTTAATTGTTTACCGGTATCGCGTTACTAAATTGTTTGCCAAAAGCATTACGAAGTGCATGCTAACCAACAGTAATTAACAGCGCATTTCATCTTTGATGAGGAAAATAAACCAAAATAATACGATGGTAAATCTCTCGTGAAACCATCGCAAAACTATATGTTCTAAAAAGAAGGTACGTATTTTTTTTTTAACGTCAGGAAATGAGAAATGACGTAATAAAATTTACGATTATTTATCTCCTATGTTTCTCGAACTCGCGTTTAGCAAAGTTGAGTATTTCGTAACTCTGCGTTAAATTCTGCTATAAAGCTTGATTTTGCAGAATAATCCATGAGGGAAATAATTTGTCGCTGGTTGACACATGCAGGTGATATTAAGCAGATGTTTGCACGACGTGATAAACTGTAGGACATAAATTCACCGGTCCCAATCACAGTCGTGGCCCATTCAAGCAAGTCATAACCAACAGTCGCGCATTAACGCGTTATGCAACTTTATACGAAGTAATACACGAATTATTGAGTAAAGAACTTTCAACCTCGGTCGTTATGATGCCGAAATTCGATGCGATAATTTCAAACATTATTACTATTATGTTAATTATATTAAACAGAATTTCACTAGCTTGATAGATAATGGTACGCGATAAATGAAAATTAATTGCAAATTCTGTAATTTTACGTATATTACGTTTTTGGCATAATTCGAATATAGCGATAAAGTTATATGTATATATTTTATAAATTAAATTTGCGCAAAATATTCTGGGGCAGGTTCGCTACAAATTTTTTAATGTAATAAAAGAAGAAGATTAAATGAAATCTATTTCAATTATGATTTATAAGAATAAATAAGAACGCAAAATAAAAGTTTTCCATTTCTACTGATAAATTATAAATGTAATT